TTTATATATATAGTATATATATATATATGGAGGGGGGGCTCGCCTAACTAGTTCCTACGCAGAAAGCTAGAATAAACGAGTTCGAATCTGTAATGCTTCGGTTTACTGGTGCCAATAAGACTACTACAGAGTATAAAGAAAGCGAGCTGAAAGGTGAACACGAACTAGTTTCGGGGCAGAGAGCTGGAATCAATAAGTATGGCGGAAAGTAAATAGTCTCGCACACCCTTTTTTGTCAATATCTAGTCGTGAGAAAGCGTACACCAGATTTTGGCGAATGAAAACTAAATGCTTATATGACTTATATATCACTCTATGTACTCTGGGACAGGCTAATGAACAGCTGAAGCGCAGGTATGCATATCAAAAATTTCAGAAACTGTACAAATAGCAATCATGTGCTATCTCATCTCTGAAGCGTGAAAACATAAACCTCAGCAATAGATCCAAACAGACCAACACCCGCATACTAACAAAATTGGAAGGGCTACGTAGAAGGGGTTCATATCACTAAACAGATTGTACAATATAATTCGCCTTCACTGGATTCTATATCCCAAAAAAAAACCCGTACTATAGCCAAGTCCACTTTCATATGATTTCTACAGTTTATATCTGCATACCCATATTACTATATATGTGAAGTATGCATAGTTCCTCTATTCGTTACAGTCAGCCTGTGATCACGCTGAGATTGCACTGGAACTCGCAGTCTATACAAACAACCGAAGACAGAAATATATGAATAAACACCAGGCGTAAATACTACATGTACTACGCCAAAGAAGCTATATAGACATGCACACACACGGCTAACAGCACCTACATACACGGCCAACAACACCCACACTCACACCATCCACTGTTTACATAGCTTACCATGCCGTCTCTAGGGCAATACACGATCACACAATCCGGTTTCATCGCGCCGCCTAGCAAGGCTCTACTATACACGATCGTATATATGCCTCCCAATTACACTGATCACCAGACCATCCGAGTGTCGGCCTATCTATACGAAGATTCTCTGTACGTAATTATGTTAAAAATTCATTATACTTTTTTAAATTGTACATATGTCTACATACGTATAAATACAAGCGCGTATGTAGTAGACTATAGTACATCCCACTTTTAAAAATTAATAACAGTGCACTAAAAATGAACTTGAAACATTGAAAGTCATCGAGCCTATTTTTTATAAAAGAATTGGCGGGCTAAATAGTACCGAACCTCTTACTATTTTAAGTACACCTCCTTCCCTTCTGGAGATATTTTTCTGGGGAATAGTTTTTTAATAAATACGTTGAGCATAAACGTACACATTTTTTTAAATCGTTAGAGCGTGTAAGTGGGCTAAAAGATATGAACCTCTCTTCTTGAATATAAAGACTATAATATTTAATTTCTCCTATATATTGCACCTTATATCCTGGAATAGTGCACCTAAATATTTTAAATAGGCCCAGCCCAAAGTTAACGTTTATGGACGTAAACGTAAAATATATCAATTTTCATTCGTTTCAACGTAAAGAACGTAATAAGGTCAGGTATATTAGTTATTACGCCCCACTCCCCCAGTGTTGGGAGCCTCTCAAAACCAAATATCAACCGACGCAACCCAATCGCGCACAAATGATCCAATCTCAGCATTTCTTATTTGACGAAAACTCAGCAGCAGTCCACCAGTTATATATAATTATTGAACCAACTCGATGTACACTATACGGTATACAGAGAGTGCGTGTGTGAGTGAGTGAGTGAGAGTTGTATTCTGTATTACTTGTGAGCATATATTCGAAGCAAGGAAAGTGGTATTCCCAACAAGGTAGTGTGTCTGTGATAAGCACAACTACACACACCGGTAGTATATTCTAATTTCACAAAGTACACTCAACACACGCCACCATGGATCAGATGCCCATTCAGGGGCAGCAAGTGTACCAGCTCAGCCAGTTCTGGAGCTCGGTTATGGTGGAGATGCGTCAACCACAAGACTTTAAAACAGCTATCCTCCCCCTTGCGCGAATTAAGAAAATCATGAAATTAGACGACGAAGTAAAGGTGTGTCTCTAACTGTGAGCTGTGCAGTCTTCACAGCAGTGAAGGTATGTAGCTGAGCAAAGAAGACTGTGGGTTGTTAAATCCTTGAAGTAGAGTTATTTAACTGAGTAGCCACACATGAGTAAATCTGCGCAAGTTACAATCTTTGTTTTGTATATATATGCGTGACGCATGTTATTCTTGCCTACCTGTATGCTCTATAAAATCGTAATTATGTGGTGAGATCGTGTATACACCACTGGGGTGATTGATTCGGACCTTAGAAGTTTTACAGCTTGTCAAATTTGTTATTCCCATACTGTTGTATCGAATTAATTTTGTTTATTTCTGTTGCTGTTGTTTGTTTTTAGTTTTGCGTTGGTGGTTTGAAATAAAGTGTATTTCGACAAATCCTTCAGGTATTGTAAATACTACACAAATTAGTATATAT